GTGCTTACAGCTGAATCCTATTCTTTTGATTGATTTGTTTGATGATTTTTGTGATTTATTTTATTTGTACGAACCTGGAACCTTTTCACTGTGAGGCAACAGTGCTAACCACTGCGCCACCGTGCTGCCCCTGCATGTGCTTATATATTGTTAATTAATCAATACTAATGATATTACTAAATTAAATAATCAGTAATAAAATGATACATCACAAAATACCACAAGTGTCTTTCATTTGTTCTATATGTTCAAAGGCTGGTTATTCTGTATTGGTTGTTCTTTTTCTAGCAGGTCTTTATTAAATAAAAACAAGCTTCCCAACTGGCACTCAATGAAAAATACATTATTAGAAGGAGGAATACATTTAGAGCACATGGAGTCGGAGCTGGATTTAGTTGTGTCCAATCAAACCACCTCCTCTCAATCCCTATAAAGAGCAGGGCAGAAACCTGACTAACTGATGTCACTGATTTCATGACATGGAAATATATGAGATAAGATTCTTTCCCTGGATCTTTTCCTACCAGTTTTGAACTCCATTCCAAAATTGACAATGATAAAATTATTTATGTAGAAGTACTGCATCTCACATGTAACATTATAAACATTTCAATGTTTTTAAAATAATTTTAAAAAATGATATGATCACTGTGTTTATGGTGAAACTGATTGTGGTCCACTAGAGTGCACAGCCAGTGGATGCATTGCCCCTTTATCTCCACCTACAGCTGCTTTTAAAGCTAATCAAACCACCATAAAATGTAAAAACTGACACAATGTATATCCTTGTGGTAGTAACAAAGGTATGTCTGTGTGAAACTTGTTTGTATGAAGAACCTGTAACTTAACAGTGACAGCAGTGCATAGTGAGGTCAGACTGACCTTACCTGCTGCATAACGGGATTAACTGGGAGGTCTGTAGGGTGTTTATTTATTTTCACTCATGAACTGCTTTACTGTGTTATTATGTGTAATGTTTTAACATTTTTATTCCCATTCACTGACTGCAGACCTCTGGCAGGATCCTCTATGACAGAAGGTGCATCCTGACACACATCAAAACTGTTTGACCATATTCAATTTTCTAGCCACATCAAGTTTCTAGCCACATACTGAGGGCATACTGAGATTAAAAATAATCATTCTAAATTACTGTACATATTCCATGATATACAATAAATTATTCCGAGTGACTTCCGGCAGATCAGTTATGGATTTATGGGTTAATTTCAAGTTGGTGTAGCCATTAAAATACATTTGATCTGATCTCCTGCTTCCCAGACCATGCATTTGCCAAGACAATTGCAGAAAGGTACACCTGTGAATGCAATAAGAGGTGCTCAGAGTAGCTATTATCACTATTTTGATTCAAAACGGGCACCAAAATTACACTGCACTGCCTAATTGATATACACAGCCTCAACAGCGCCATTCCTCCCACCTCAGTGTAAGTGCATTCATTCATGACAGGAAAATATGCAAACACACCAATGCACAAAAAAGTAGACATACACCTGAGGAAAACTGCATAACACATGTGAATGAAGCAATGCAGGAAATGTGCTGGCAGGAAAACAGAGCAACATGGGTAATACCAGGAGCAACATGGGTTTCAGTGTCTTGCCTAAGGACACTTTGACCTGTGGACTAGAGAAGCCAGGAATCGAACTACCTACCTTCTGGTTAGGAGATGACCCACTCTACATTAATTATTCTGCAAAACAAAAATCATTTAGGATAAAGGTCTCTTGTGAAGAGACTCCACTTAATACACAGTCCACATTTACACCTCTTCTCACAGCAAATAAAGTGGCAGCTACAGACAGCCCTACCATGCATATATTTTTAACTACTGTTCTGGGGAGTTTAGATGAAGTGCTAATTCTCTTATCTACTCTGAAATTTGAGGGGACCCATCCCTTCACAACATACTGAGTACAGTCCTTAATGTTGGCTTTCTCCCTAGAGCTGCACTGCTGGAGTACGATTCATGTACTACTGAGACAATGAAATACAAGCATGGAAGTCCAGTCGGAGGAACAGATTTGCATAGTATTTTGTAGTACTCACAGACAGCTCTGGAAAGTTTGATCTTTTCTCAAGGTCAAAAGCAGAAATACATTGGCATACTATAAGATGTAATCTAACTAAAAACCATACTTGTATGTATGTGATTGGGTATTGCATCAGTAAAAAAAGAAAACAGCAATTTGTGCAGGATGATATCACATTACAATGCAGAAAAAGTTGAGCACTGTGAATTAAATTTAGTTATTAGGCCTGTGTACCGAACAGACATATTCTCATCTATGTAAATCCAGTATTGGAAGGAACATGTTCCAGTTTTATGCCATTTTAAAGGTTAGCATTCACACGTGAAAGACTTGAAGCCCTTAAAACAGCTTCAGCTGTGAGATTTCTGATTATAATGGTCTCATATTGCTGCTTATGTAATTCTTTTTTCATATATTCTGATATTTAGCTACCAGGGGGCCATGAGATAGACTTGGTGCTAAAGATGTGGACTACCAAATCATTTAAATTACTAATAGTATAGGAGATTCTGTACAATCTAAAAGAATTTAATAGTAATAATACAATTTTTGTTGACTGTCAAAAGTCCCCCCCACCTGTACAGTACTTCTACATGCTTCAGTGTGGTGTTGTAAGGTATTTAATTTCATTACACATATACAGAATGTAATTGGGTAGAATATACACTTTCAATATAATACTAGGAGGTACATCCATAAAATGTTTCACAAAGGCGGGATGTCTGCATAGTCTAGGGGTTAAGATGTAATCATAATATTGGCTAAGGGCCTTTAGAGCATGTTCTCTCTCTACCCTAATTTTTAGCCAAAGAATTAAAAACATTATTGCAATGGTCAGTCAGTGATGATATTCACTCTTACACAGGCCACTTACTACTGGCAGCTTACAGTATGAAAATTAAAACATTACATTAACATTTAAAGCTGAACCACTGTGTTATTTGGCATTGTCCTTTATTTGTACCAGAACTTTGTGCTTGACTCAAAGTACAAAATCAACAGGTTTAGAGTAGTCAGACTCTAGCACACAATAAACTGATATAATAATGGAAGAACCTTCTTAAAAAAAACAAAACCATCAAAATGAAGACAACATTGCTGCATAGGACATTCCAGCAGTGCATGACTGCATAGATCTCCACCCCATTTGACTTCTACACCTTATCAAATGCCTACTATATTTAGCAGCCATACAGCTGTCAGTCTTCCATCAGTCACAGCAGAGAGACAGTATATGCTTCTTTCACCATCTTTTGTAAGTATTGTTTTGTCTATATACACTGCTATTCGTACTCCCCTGACTGGCTAACTTGCTCACTAAATTAGACATTTTTCGGTGAGGGGTTGTACCAGCAGGCACTATAGAAGCTTTTAATCTATCAGTTGTGTTGTTTCAAAATGCAGACATTTGATCAAACCTGATTGATACAGTAAGCTTTTTAGTTCAGAGTAAAACAGAATATGCCACCTGACCCCAGACACTTTTGGCTTTGACTTCAGGTTTTATGCAGTGAAAAAAAATGATGGCCTCATTTTTGAAATTTCTCTTAAGGAAGTTCACCCTTATTAGCTGAATGTTAGCTAGAGCCTGATTCTAACTACGCTAAAGCTGCGACTGAGCCAAATATGAAGTTTTAGTACAAATAAAGGACAGTAGGAAACAATCTAGTGATCCAGCTTTATTTTTTATCTTGATTTTCACATTAAAAGCTGTCATTATAAAATCTGAGTGACCAGTACAATGCAATAATGTTTGTCATTCTTGGGGATTTCTCTCTAGTTTAGTGACAGCAAAGGGATTGCAGAAAAATTGGGAGAGAGGATAAATGACTTGTAACAAAGGCTCTTAGCCAGACTCAAACAGGGACGTTTTAACCCCTAAAATACAAAGACATCCCACCTCTGAAACATTTTGTTGATGTACTTTCTGGTGCTGTTGTAATGGGCTGCATTTTATTAAAGGCTTATAATATTTTGTCCAAATATTACACTTAAAAATAGTAATTGGGTATCCAGGCAGGGGCTTTACTGAGTATGCAGATCTGTGAACAAGACTGCTAATTTACAACATACTAGTTGGCTGACATGTCCAGAAATGTTGGCCAGACTAGTTCTTCTGCATCTTCTAATTAACACTTGCAGTTATGTCTGTGGTTAGAGTAAAATGTGTGTGGGGAGTACAAAGCACTCGGTACTCGCCTATCCTTTTGACATTCGGTACACTGTCTTTTAAAATCTTATTTAAAGAAAAAAGCTTCCTTTGTTCTTCAGTAATTCCAGATGCTGCTTGTTTTCATAAAATCCTAACCATTACTCTAAAGGTATGTGGAATTATGTCTAACAAGGAAGGGGGGCCTTCGGCATTCACTTATTGACAATGTTTGTCCCTGACAGTTAGCATAAATGTTGCCTGTAAGATGAACAGTTTAACCATCACAGGACTATCGAACGCCTGTTTCTAAACAGTGCTTTGAGTACCTTTTTTTTACCCTGCTGTTAAGGTTTGTTAATTACCTGTGCATACAAGTTGTATTATTTTAGAACTGAGGCTCATTTCAGAGGCTTGAATTCAGAGCTTGCTTGATGGCACCATGTCACTCATGCTGGTTATAAATACTTACAATAAGACGATACAAAATCTACAGTCATGATAGACCGTAATTAGACAGATACCAAATACAGTGTTGCCCACAACCTGATGGGACATAACTGGGAGGAGCAGTTTCTTTACACAGGGACATTAGAAGAATACATTTTACTGAGGAAAGAACTTGAAGCTGACAAAAACAATGAAATACCATTGAAGCTGTTAAATAATGTAGTGTGGGTGCTTATTACAATTGTGCAGTTTTCAGATTCAAAAATCCTTTTTGAGTGCTCATACTGTGGAAATTGTTCATACTGCATATTAAACAATATTTTATTCTTTTTTATCAGCATAGTAACATGTGCCGGCTACTTGTGACCGCAGGTAAAGTACACTGATCAAGAATGCTTATTTGAAGAGTTCATTCACCCACAATCCCATCTTCACACCTCTAGTGGTATCTAGACATGCAGACACTTTTTGTTATTTTGATATCCTGAGATTTGTCACCAGCCTAATGTAATAAAGATGAGTGGAATTTTGTTTGTTGCTTACAGTAATGAACACATTTACACACAGTAGGCATAGTGAGGGCTGTAGATGGGGATGTTGTCTATAGACATGATACTGTTGCTAAATGTTTAACATATTAAATTTCATCCAACTCTGTATACATTTATTTTTGTAATTTGTGGGAACTGACCTGGCTTTGGTTTTGACCTAATACTGACCAAGTTTGTCACTTTGAAGGTCTCTGTTTGATTTTCTCCAGCCTGGGTAAGTTCATAGCATGCATTAATTAATCACAATCAACAGTCACACTAGCAAGTAATTTCCAGAAATCAGCAATTATTGATAAACTGTGAGTCTGATACATTTCAAAACCTAATGAATCAGAATTAAAAACCATTTCCCATGTCTCAGCCTCATCCTTCAGGCTGGTGTGTTACTATAACAGCTTGGCCGAAAACAGAGAGGAAGATGGGAAGTTCACAATTTCAGATGTTGATCCAAACCAGTGCACCCATCTGATCTACGCTTTTTCCGACATTAACAATGCAAACAAGCTGGTTCCCAGCAGTGCAACCGACTTTCAAAGCTATAAGTCATTTAATGATCTCAAAACCAGGTCAGGCCTTTAGCCTATAAATATTTTGGAAATTGTACAATTTTTTTTTTTCAACTAAACTTTTATGCACCCACAGAAATCCACTGCTTAAAACCTTGTTGGCTGTTGGTGGCCTGACCTTCAACACACAAAAGTAAGATACATATTTATTTCTGTACCAGTGCAAAGTATAAGACATGCTGATATCTTCTTGACTGTGAAGATGGTTTCATACAAATGAGGTCACACAAGGCGAGGTCTTGATATTCCACATTAATTACTTTTTATTATTTTGTTAGCAGATACAAACAAAATGCATTATGTACATTTGCTGCAAATAGTCCAACCACCTTCTTTAAATTAACCATGTGGTCATTAAACTATTGAGTGTTTGTGGTCATTGTAAACACTAAATGACTTTGGGTTTACATTGTAAGATTTAACAAATTCAGCAAACATTTGATGGTTGGTTGTATTATGTAACCTGTTTTCTTTAGTTTTTTTTTATTTGACTTTAAGCATAAAGAAATAATTAGTTTTAAACCACTGTGTTTGCAATAAAACTAAACCAACCATAATTCAGCATGCAATTTTATTTTAATCATGCTTTTTTAAACTATAACTAAAAACTTCAGTAAGTCCGTATTATGTTTATGTGGATCTTCAAAGCAGTGTCTTGTTCAAATGTTTATCAGATTCAGTATGATGGTGTCAACACAGCGAAACAGAACAACGTTCATCCAGTCTGTGATCACACTACTGAGGAACTATGGGTTTGATGGGCTGAACCTGGACTGGAGATACCCTAGAAGAGCACGAAGCCGACCAGAAGACAAGCAGAAATTTACACTGTTGTGCAAGGTCAGGTCCTAAATTTTAGTGTTTGGACTCTCGGAAATGTGCCATTTATGACAATATATGATTTAACACTTGACTGGGACTGAACTATGTTTCTGTGTTGAATAGGAGCTCAAAGACGCCTTTGTGGCTGAAGGGACAAAAACTCATCGTGACAGATTAATGGTCACTGCCAGTGTTTCTGCTGAGAAAGCGGTCATCGATGCCAGTTATGAAGTTGCACAGATTGCCATGTAAAACGGATTTAATATAATTCTTGACATTACACCCATGACTAGCTATTGTCATGTGTTATATAACATGCTTTCCTCTGCATTTTATCAGGCACCTGGATTTCATTAATGTTCTGACGTTTGACTTTCACAGCTCCTGGGAGAATGTCACAGGACATCACAGTCCCTTACACCAGGGATCCAAAGACAAAGGAGACAAAATCTACTCTAACACTGCAAGTACCATGATTCATATTAACTGCCCAAACACCTTTGAATTTAGGGATATCCTCTCACCCTAACAGATTTTTTGTCTCCACTTTTTAGGACTATGCCATGCGGTACTGGCGGGACCAGGGAGCACCTACACAAAAACTAAACTTGGGACTAGCAGCGTATGGGCGAGCTTTTACCCTCTCCTCTGCATCCACTGATGTTGGAGCACCAGTTAGTGGTCCTGGTGAAGGAGGCTGCTACACTGATAAAGATGGCTTCTGGGCATATTAAAGGTAAAACTGCAAGGTGCAGGTCTGCTGTCACTGGGCATTTCACCTCTTGCTGTCGGTCATGACACCATTCTGATGATACACTTTACAGTGCAGTGCTGCCAGAGCTCAATTAGCCTTCTCTATATTCAGGAGATTTGATATCTCGCCTGAGCCATGTTATTGTCTTTGTACTTGTGCAAGTGCATTGAACTAACTTCAGACCATGGACCTGACAGCTGACCAAATTTCTCACATGCTAGAAATCCATCTACTTGTTCAGGAGCTAGACTGTAGATTGTTCAGGTGATTAATCCTGAGTTGATGGTAAAGAGAAATAGCCAATCAGCTGATTGTTTAGGTTGGCAATGCTGTCACACAAACGTTTGTCAAAACGCTGATTATTTATTGAGAGGTCATTCCTGTTGCCAGGTTAGATTTCAGTCTGAGATCAAGTCAGTCACCTCTCCATTATTTTTCAGCACATATAACCTGCTGTTGTTTTCACACATATTCTCATATGTTGCCTTTTTATATTTATTCAGCTTAGACACTCTGCAAAAACACTTAGGCCCTGTGCTTAAGCCTTTCTATGTCAGGGAAAACCCTAGGTATAAGTAATTTACATGTATATTTATAACTCAAATAGATACCATTTACTGTATTCTGGGCATATTGTGAGGTAAAGATGCAAGATATGAAAATAATTCATTTATAAGAATTGCCTAATTACTGAAAAAAGCTGTTGCTGTAAACTGTGTGACAAATTTCCATTTGCATTACTACATTAAATCTAAATTAGACATGAAATGTGACTCCTTTTCAGACTTGCCTATATCTTGAAGGGGTTATCATCCAGCTGATTACGGAACAGATTGTTCCATATGCCATCACAGAAAATCAGTGGGTTGGATTTGATGACAAAGATAGCCTTGACAGAAAGGTAATCACATGTTTCTTTCAGTAAAACATTTCCAAATGACTGGTTGTACACAAATCTTGAATGGACATTCTGTCAATATGACATCAGCTGTTAAAGTGTATTTCCCATCTTCTCAGGTCAGTTACATTAAAACAAACAACTTTGGAGGAGCCACTGTCTGGTCTCTGGACCTGGATGACTTTAGAGGACAGTTCTGTAAACAGGGCAAAAACCCCTTCACTGCCCACCTCCATACCCTCCTGGTTCCAGGTAAACAAAATGTCAACAGTGTCTCTTCTATCCTGTTCTGGGGTGGTGTTTTGTTTTATTATATTTGATCTTATTTAATATCAGCATTAATTTAATCACTTTTCAATTACTCCATAGAGAAAAAACTAAGTACATTACTCAAGTACTGTACTTAAGTAGAGTAGAGTAGGTACTTTATTGATCCCACAGTGAGGAAATTTCTGTTACAGCAGCAACAGAGAACAACCAACATAACACCATAAGAACAGACACATAAAAACAGGACTTCATAAAAACACGGAAATAAACACAACGAGGACACAGCTGCTGTAACTTGCTGCCACTCCACGCCGCACAACAAAGTCTTAAAATAAACAGTTACATAAAGGCAACAAAGCATCAGAACCAATACACACAAGTGTTCCCTTAAGTACAATTTTGAGGTATCTGTACTTAAGTATTTTCATTTTGTTACTTCACTGCATTTTAGAGACAAATATTGTACTTTTTACTGCATGGCATTTATTTTATAATTTTAATTACTTTCCATAAAGAGATTAATAATAAAAATAACTACAGTAAGACCTTACTGATCCTGGGTGGGAAATTCTCCAGTTACCTGCAGTAACTCAAAGCATATACGTTAGTTAAAACTAGCTCCCCCATTATCAGCTGTAACATTAAAACTGACCTACACAATAATGCATCAGTAACTATAATTCAATAATCGATTAAAGTTAAATGTACCATTCTGCATGAGTGTTAGAAACACTCGACACACAAATGAGCGAGCGGAGAAAACAACAGACCCAGGCGGCTGGCTTCAGTGCAAGCAGTGAGATTTATTTACAGTGCCAACAGTGCGTAAATATTGTAATACTCCCCTTTCTTTCTACAAGACCGGGTGTCGATCAGCGGTGGCAGGAGTGGCAATCAATGGAGTGATGATGGGCCGGGCTGCGGGTATAGGAGTCACTCCTGGACTGGTCGGGTAGGAGATGAGGATGGCTGAGGAGGGAATATCAGAGAGACAGATTACTGAGGACTGTGCATCGACCTGTGAAGGCGGTGACTGGTGGAGCTGAGGGTAACCCGGGTCCAAAGAAGAGGTCCGATGCGGAGGGAAACCAGTGTTATGAGCATATTCCACCCAGGGCAACAACTGGCTCCAGTCCTCTGGTGAGGAACTGGTAGCACAGCGGAAGGCGTTTTCCAGTTCCTGGCTCAGCCGTTCAGCTTGGCCGTTGGTTTGGGGGTGATAACCGGAAGAAAGACAGGGACGTGCTCCGAGGGCAGTGCAAAAAGCAGACCAGACGTGAGAGGTGAATTGTGGACCGCGGTCAGAAATGATAGTGATGGGGGTGCCGTGAATACGAAACACATGCTGAACCAGGAGCTGGGCGGTTGCTAGAGCAGTGGGGAGTTGTGGAAGGGGAAGGCAATGGGCGGACTTGGG